ATGGACGCGGGCAGGCTAGCAGAGATTCTTTGAGGAATTGGAGGGGATGGACGCGGGCAGGCTAGCAGAGATTCTTTGAGGAATTGGAGGGGATGGAGGGGCAGGCTAGCAGAGATTCTTTGAGGAATTGGAGGGGATGGAGGGGCAGGCTAGCAGAGATTCTTTGAGGAATTGGAGGGGATGGAGGGGCAGGCTAGCAGAGATTCTTTGAGGAATTGGAGGGGATGGACGCGGGCAGGCTAGCAGAGATTCTTTGAGGAATTGGAGGGGATGGACGCGGGCAGGCTAGCAGAGATTCTTTGAGGAATTGGAGGGGATGGAGGGGCAGGCTAGCAGAGATTCTTTGAGGAATTGGAGGGGATGGAGGGGCAGGCTAGCAGAGATTCTTTGAGGAATTGGAGGGGATGGACGCGGGCAGGCTAGCAGAGATTCTTTGAGGAATTGGAGGGGATGGAGGGGCAGGCTAGCAGAGATTCTTTGAGGAATTGGAGGGGATGGACGCGGGCAGGCTAGCAGAGATTCTTTGAGGAATTGGGGGGGATGGAGGGGCAGGCTAGCAGAGATTCTTTGAGGAATTGGAGGGGATGGAGGGGCAGGCTAGCAGAGATTCTTTGAGGAAGAGGGGTTCGATTTTGCTCAGGTAAGTAAATAGGCCTCTCCGTGAAGGTTTTATGGTTCAGGTGGTGGGGGCAATTTGCATCTCGGCCCCACCACACCATCCCGATCGCCTTGTAAAACCTTTGGGTCAGCCGGGGAAGGGTGGGTGAACGGACAGAAGGGAAATCCTTGACATGCAGAGAGAGAGAGAGAGAGAGAGAGAGAGAGAGAGAGAGAGAGAGAGAGAGAGAGACAAAGCCAAGGAACACAATTCCCCCCAAGGCCCCGGTCTTCTCACCTATACAAAATGGGGTTGACTGACACATGCAGAAGATGGTCATTCATACACATGGATGCAAGCGAAACTGGCCCTCTAAAATTCCCAAAGGATCGCTGCTGGACTGCTCTGATGTATCATCTCTGCTGCCGGACTGGCCGAAAGCTCTTCGCTTTCGCCAATGGTCTATGCTAGTTCGCCAGAAAAGTGAGAGAAAGAGAGAACGAGAGAGCGAGAAACCCGAAAGAGAGAAGGAGAGAGGAAGAGAGAGAAATACAGAGAGAACGAAAGACAGCGAGACAGAGGGAGACAGCGAATAAGAGTGAGAGAGAGAGAGAGAGAGAGAGAAGGCAGAGAGAGAAATTTACGGCTTCAATAATGCTGAAAAAATCGCCGAAAAGCGTCGATGACAATGATGTCGTCGGGAGTCGGGAATTCCCATAAAAACGCACGAGTCCATATGTCGAGGATGTCTGCCCTTCCCTGCTCTTCTTCTCCCCCCCACCCACTTCAACCATTCCGACCCCCCCCGTCCCCACCCTCAATACACCAGTTTCTGCCCGCTTTTGTCGGCTTTTTTGGAGCACTTGCCGTTCCGGGCGATGGCCCTAATTTTGCTGCCATTTTCCGGAAGTGAAAGCTGTTTTGGCGCGAGAGACGAGGTCATGGGCTTTAAAGGAAGCGTGACAGCTCTGAGTGACAGGGCTGGCTGGCAGAGATCCTTGGGGAAACGGAGATCCTGGTCCAGGCAGGCTGGCAGGGATCCTTTAGGAAGCCGGACGCGATCATAGAAGCTTTGTAGGGGATGGATTCGCCTGGGCAGGCTTGCATTGATCTTTGCGGAAAAATGCGCATAAAATGAATGTCGGGAACGGGGCAAGCTAGCAGAGATTCTTTGAGGAATTGGAGGGGATGGACGGGGGCAGGCTAGCAGAGATTCTTTGAGGAATTGGAGGGGATGGACGGGGGCAGGCTAGCAGAGATTCTTTGAGGAATTGGAGGGAATGGACGGGGCAGGCTAGCAGAGATTCTTTGTGGAATTGGAGGGGAAGGAGGGGCATGCTAGCAGAGATTCTTTGAGACGGGGGATAGATCAAAATCGATGATGGCTTTTCGTAGGAGGGTGTGGGAATGGTGCCCCCAAGGGGGACGGAGAAATGGTGGGAAAAGGCAGGGACCGGTTGACCCTCTAAAGGGATCGAGAAGGGGAAGCGGAGAGACCGGAATCGGTCGGGAATAACCCGCGGGGATCGGAGAAAAATAATGGGCATCAAACTCTTCAATGGGCCTTTAGGCGTCCTAAATGATCTCTGCTAGCCTGCCCCCTCCTGCCCCTCCAATTCCTCAAAGAATCTCTGCTAGCCTCCCTCCCCGTAATACGAGGCGGGCTGGCAAAGCTTCTTGAGGAAACGGAAAAAATAAGATCTTTTCCGTGTTAAAACCGTAAGAAACAAAACGGTTACTACCGTAACCTGGCATTTGTGCACCTTCGGATTCTGCCATTTGCCGTGCCCTCGGCCGGTACCCATTTCCATAATATAATCGCGCTTTTCCGGGGGAGCGAGAGAAAGAGAGAAAGAGAGAGAGAGAGAGAGGGAGAGAGAGAGAGGGAGAGAAATCTTCAAGGACTGGTCCCCCAGCCCCCAGGTAATTCCACCCCCGTCGACCGTCATGAGGAGTCATGAGTAGTCAAAGATCTGTGACCGGAAAGGGTCCCTCAAGAATCTCTGCTAAATTGCTTTTACAAAAAAACCAATAAGCATAAAAGCTCCTAAATGGCCACTGCTAGCCGGCCTTCCCCAAGAATCTCTGCTAGGTTGCCTAGGCAGAAGCCTTTTTGAGATCATTTTAATTGATTACGATAGGTAAATCGGTTTTTAAAGGGATTTTGCCATGAAGGAAAAATCGAGCAGCTTCCACAAAGATCACTGCTAGGCTGCCCCAGGATCAACATTAATTTCCACAAAAATCAACGCTGGACTGTCCCAAATTTCCGCAAAGATCCCTGCTAGCCTGCTTCGAAAATTGGCAGTTATATAGCAATCGACTACGACATGAAAATACGTTGGTTAAAGGGATAGTGACAGAAAGGAATAGATAAAAAATTGTTGTTTGATGGTTTAGTGCACTAATCTGTTGCTCGGTCTCACCTTAACAGGGCGAGAGAGACATAGAGAGAGAGAGAGAGAGAGAGAGGGGGCAAGAGAGATAACGAACACCCCCGAAAATGGGGTTAATAGCCGCCGTCTGTCAGCAATCGGTGATACCGCTAGGGATTGGATCGAAATGCCCTGAGGGCACATTCTCTTCTCGAGACTCGTCTCCCTTCACTTTCCCTTTAATATCTTATACCCATCCACCCTTCAGGGGCGGTTCCACTCTTTTGATATGAGGAGCACCAGAGGGGGGAGGGTGTCGCCGATCGAATAAATTGGACGAACGAACGAACGGGAACTAATGGCAGGCTAGCAGAGATTCTTTGAGGAATTGGAGGGTTGGAGGGGGGCAGGCTAGCAGAGATTCTTTGAGGAATTGGAGGGGATGGTGGGGCAGGCTAGCAGAGATTCTTTGAGGAATTGGAGGAGATGGTGGGGCAGGCTAGCAGAGATTCTTTGAGGATTTGGAGGGGATGGTGGGGCAGGCTAGCAGAGATTCTTTGAGGATTTGGAGGGGATGGTGGGGCAGGCTAGCAGAGATTCTTTGAGGAATTGGAGGGATGGTGGGGCAGGCTAGCAGAGATTCTTTGAGGAATTGGAGGGGATGGAGGGGGCAGGCTAGCAGAGATTCTTTGAGGAATTGGAGGGGATGGAGGGGGCAGGCTAGCAGAGATTCTTTGAGGAATTGGAGGGGATGGAGGGGGCAGGCTAGCAGAGATTCTTTGAGGAAATTTTGAAAATTCGAGGAAAAGTTAGTTGGTTCGATCGGTGAAGCGCGCAGAAACGCGTGACGGCGACGTTCGACCCCCAGAAAAAGGGGGCAGGGGAAGAAGCGGAAAGAGTGGAATCTGTTTGGTGGAGGGATTAGGAGGGGTGGTGGGTAGAGATGGGCTTTTCCCCGGTTAGTAGACCAGGTTGGTAGCCGGCTAGCAAAGATCTTTGGGGAAAAGCGGCTTTTTTATTTTTTTTTTTTGAAATGTTAGCTAGGTTTAGGTTCAGGTTAAGCCTTAGGATTTAGCTTAGGCCTAGGAGCTCATGGCAGGCTAGCAAAAACTTTTTGGGATTTTTTGGGCCGGTTCGACGTTTACACGGCTTTAGAGTCAGGACAAGCTAGCAGTGATCGCTGCGGAAGCTAGAGTAACGTTTTTAAATTTTCTGAATTTGCATGACCGGGCAAGCTAGCGGAGATTCTTTGCGAAAACCCCTTGGAAGCTACTTTACTAACCTACTCTTCGGATGTTCAGGGCGAACTAGCAGTGATTTTTTGCCAAAACTGGGTACTGAGTATCCGAAAAAGTTTTTAAAAAACAGGGCTGGCTAACAGATTTCATTGTGGAGTCCCGCCAAGGATCCCAATTTCCTGCCTTTCAAGCGCCTCAAAAATTCGGAGACCGATGATCCGGAATCCGGATTCAGATCGGATTGACGGCAAAAAATGGGGGAGCGCTGGCCGGATGCCCTGGGGGGGGGGGGGGGGCATTGCCTAGATCCATAATTAAGATAGCCTACACATCGTGGCTCGCCCCAATGGGTGGGTCGCCCTGTATTTTGAGAAATGCAGGACTGAAGGGAGCAGCAAGTATGGGAATCTTTAACGTTTATCCCAGTTGAAATAGTCGCGAGAGAATCTATCTGTCGTCGTTATCCCTTTGAAGGGATGCCGACGGCATAAGTCGGTCGATTACGCGCTGGAAAGAAAATGTCTCTGCGTCTCTACCCAGGGGGCGCTCTCTGCCCTGTTGGCTACTTGCCAATTTGTTGATGGGGGGGATCGACACATGCCGTCGGCAGCCCTTTAAGCATTTTTCACTATTTTGCTTGTAAAATCATTAACTGCAGGCATTTCGCAAAACCAAAATTTGCATGTCAGATGGATGTGTTTCACCACCCCGATGCCAAAAATTTATTCAAACAATCATTTACAATGTACATTTTTCGGTGTGGGGATCGAGGAGTTCAGTGGGACTTTAGCCGACGGTGATGCCCCAGCCTGAAAAAAATGTTGTAAAGGGATCGTGAAGGCAAAAGCTTGTAGATTCGGACTTGGATTCCTAGACGTGAAAAAGTGGAAATCTAGAAAAAAAAAGACATTTTTGTAGTCGATTAATTACTAAATTTGGATTTTGTTTGTGTAACTGGTTTGTCGAAATTGTCTCCAATATTGTAAAATCTAACAATAAATAATTTAACCTTACTCACCAATATTGAAAAACGGAAATCCGCCCATGCCAAAGCCGCCGGGGTAGCTGCCCGGGTAGCCGTAGATTTGGCGTCGGATGCGAGACGGAGAACTGAAAAACGACGATGGGCTGGCTAGCAGAGAAAAATTGCGAAAAACTGCCTGATGCAGCGCTCAGGGCATGCTAGCAGAGATCATTTGGGAGAATTTGGATCGATCGGAACGTAGCAGAGGCAATTTGCAAAACGATAGACCGATCGGACGCCAGAGCAGGCCAGCAGAGATCCTAAGCGAAATGTTTTAGCCAATCGGGACGCCAGGGCAGGCTAGCAGAGATCATTTGGAAAAATTTGGACGATTTCGAACGCCAGGGCAGACTAGCAGAGACAGCTTGAGAAGCTTTGATCTGCTCAGGACGAGCTGGAGGCCAGCAGAGTCCCTTTGAGCAAATTTGGACCCGCCCGGCCCCCGAGGGGCATGCCAGCAGAGACAATTTGGGAGAATCTTGACCGATTCGGACGATCAGAGGTAGAGATAATTTCGGGATTGGGTCGATATGGACTTCAGGGGCAGGCTAGCAGGGACGATTTGAGATACTTTGACTGATCCGAGCTCGAGGGCTGGCTAGCAGAAACCATATGAGAAAATTTGGATCGGTGTGGACTACAGGGCAGGCTAGCAGATACCATTGGAGAAAACTAGGATCGATCCGCCCTCGACGGCATACTAGCAGAGACAATTTGCCCCTTCCCCACTCCCGACTCACTTCCTGTTCAGATTCTGATCCTTGTATCGATACTCGGGATGCATGGCCAGCGCGTCGTCACCGTCAGTCGATATCACCACGGTTGCAAGCAGGCAAAGAAGCAGCAAAATCGAAGCCAGAAACGTCGTTGGGGTGGCCATGGCAGGGTACGGTTGAAGTATCTGCAACTTTGCGGGTAAATTTTAGGAATGGATGTGTGTTCTAAACGCAGGAAAGCTAGGAAAGCAAGCTTAAAGAGAGCTGGAAGCGCGAGAATCGACCCTTCCCTCGACTAGGTCTCGACAACTACGCGACGCTCCAAATGACGCACTTAGAAAAAGGAAAGCAGGCCAAGGACCTTTTGAGAATGGGCTTTTTGAGCGGCAAACTAGCAGCGGCTCTTCGGGAAAAATTCTGTCTTTTTTAAAGGGGTTCACAACGATCGGTTAATGCCATTCGGAGTGCCGCGTAGCCGTCAAGACCTAGTGGATGCGAGGGGGTCAATTTTCTCGCTTAACTGTCCCTTTAAAAGCCGAAAAACAGCGGAAATAGCTAATTCTGAAAAGAGAACGCAAAAGGAGAAAAGCGGCAGTTAGTTTAGAACAATTTAGGCTAATAAAAGCATAGAATAAAAATCGAAAAACTAAATAGAAGGTCGGAAATTGCTCAAACTACATTTTCTAAGCTATTTTACACAGCGAAATGCTTTTAAAAATATTAAAGCGACCAGGAACTTTGCGTTCAGCTTCCAGACATTTTTACATAATTTATTACACCCCTAAAAAAGGGGCTAAAATTGAGGTTTTCCTAAAATACCAAGTCGGCAGGCTAGCAGGGGTTCTTGGGGGATTTCCGGCCTTAGAAAAAGCTTGGAAAAATCAAGAAAAATGCAAGAAAGGTTGATAGGAATTTGATTGCGACGATATCCAGTAGATGTTCATCCGACGGTAATGCCCCAGCCTGAAAAAAATACAATTTTAATTTTCTTGGCTTCTTTCAAGGAACAGCGACAGGTAGAATGTAACGAACCCATGTTGAACCAGGGAAGCCCGCCCGGCCAGAAGTTGCCGGGGCCGCTGCCGAAGAACTGACGGCGCACACGTGTTCGCACCGGGGAGGAGGGGCTAGGAAATTTGGTTTAAAAGACCGTTAACGGTTTAATTCCTCAAGGAATCTCTGCTAGCCTGCCCCCTCCATCCCCTCGAATTCCTCAAAGAATCTCTGCTAGCCTGCCCCCGTCCATCCCCTCCAATTCCTCAAAGAATCTCTGCTAGCCTGCCCCCGTCCATCCCCTCCAATTCCTCAAAGAATCTCTGCTAGCCTGCCCCCGTCCATCCCCTCCAATTCCGCAAAGAATCTCTGCTAGCCTGCCCCCGTCCATCCCCTCCAATTCCGCAAAGAATCTCTGCTAGCCTGCCCCCGTCCATCCCCTCCAATTCCTCAAAGAATCTCTGCTAGCCTGCCCCCGTCCATCCCCTCCAATTCCGCAAAGAATCTCTGCTAGCCTGCCCCCGTCCATCCCCTCCAATTCCTCAAAGAATCTCTGCTAGCCTGCCCCCGTCCATCCCCTCCAATTCCTCAAAGAATCTCTGCTAGCCTGCCCCCGTCCATCCCCTCCAATTCCGCAAAGAATCTCTGCTAGCCTGCCCCCGTCCATCCCCTCCAATTCCTCAAAGAATCTCTGCTAGCCCTCTTGGGAACAACTTGGAAAATCGGTATTTACCTTAGCAGATCGGTTTTGGTTTCCGCGTCCGCAGAAATTGCAATAAAAATGCATACGAAGAAAACGGGCAGCAGCATGGCTAAAATCATAGACAATGCAAAAAATACAAAGCTTCCATAACCTAAAAATGTATTTTAAAAACGCGCCCGATACAGTAACAGATTGTGGATAAAAAACTACCGTAGCCGCTTGAAAAAAGAGGTAAAATACAGGCGTCGGGAAAGGGTTGGAGTTTATGCAAAAATGATGGGGAGGTGAGGGGGGGCAGGGGAGGATTTCCCGAGTTGTCCCCGCGTTTATACCTCTGTCTCTATCCCTCGCCCGCTCTCTCTCTCTCTCTCTCTCTCTCTCTCTCTCTCTCTATCTCTCTCCCGCCTCACAATTTAAGACTTGTTTACAGTTTTCCTCGACTGAGAGAGCGCTCACGCAATCTTTGGATTTGCTCCCCCGATTGACCAAGGCACGTCGGGTAATTTGTTTGTTTCTTCGCATGTTTTGTGTGATTGTTTGTCTTGTATCAACGACTAAATTTAGCCCATGAAGTCCTAAAGAATCGCTGCTAGCCTGCCCTCCATTCCCAAAAGATCCCTGCTAGGCTGACGAGGTGCCGCGGCCCCTTTCTGCGCCTGCTCCCTCTTGCCGCCCGAAACGCGCGCCACCTGGCCCACCCATCTGCGGGGGGTATATAAGGAGCAGGCATTCCCGACCTATTTTCTCTTATGAACATACTAAAATTGGAACAATACAGAAATGCGGCCAGATGAGACGCAATTTTTTGAAGGTTTCCAAATTTTTTTGGCGTGTTTTGGGGATGGCGGGGGATCGGCAAGCTGGCAGAGAGTCTTTGGAAAACTCTAAGTACGTAAGTCTCTTTTTCTCTTCAAAATCGTCTGGCGTCATTTTAGAAAGTTGCCTATTTTTGGTATTTTAATGCCCCTGCCCTTACTAGTTTGTTCGCCGAAAAGAAAAGTGTTTTGTTTTGGCACGTCGGGAGTTTGTCGAAAACATACACTACAAGAAGGGATTTACACGAGCTTGAGTAATGTTGGGCGAGAGGGTAAGAGAGAGTAAGGGGGGATGAGAGAGAGACGGCGAGAGAGAGAGAGAGGCAGAGAGAGATAGATAGAGAGTGGGAGGGTGAGAGAGAGAGAGATAGAGAGAGTGAGAGAGAGTGAGAGAGACATAGACAGAGATATAGAGATAGATAGAGAGTGGAAGGGTGCGAGAGAGAGAGAGCGAGAGAGTGAGAGACAGTGAGAGAGACCGGTAGATAGAGAGTGGGAGAATGAGTGTGAGAGAGAGCAAGAGGAGAGAGCAACAGACAATCCGAAAGAATCGTTGCTAGGCCGCCTAATCCCTGGATATCCGCATTCCACCAATGATCTCTGCCAGTATGCCGAAGTGCTCGGAAAAACTCATCCAATGCAATATAATCCAATTTTTTTCTGCTAGTTGACTGTGGAATTCTCTTTTAAACCCATTTTGAGTGTCATTCGGAACGGCCAGAAGCCCCCTTTTCGATTTCAAAATCGGGATATAATCTCCGAAGGGATGGGCTACGCAACAATACAGAGAACCCCTCCCATACAATACGCATTTTTCGGGATTTACGCCCGCGAACACGTGGGGAGGGGGGGTGAAGATTATCTTTCCCGGGGGAATGGAACGTTGAAGGTTAGCAGTAGGGTTGTTATATGAGTTGACTTGAATGCAAGTTAACTTGCCAAAAATTATGCAAACTGCGACTTGCCTTCGAGTTTACTTGAATGATTTGAGCTCATTTTCGTGCAAGTTATTTTCAGGCAAGTAAACTTGGGATGCAAACTCAACTCGATGGCAAAATAACTTGCCAAGTTTTGACTCGAATGCTGGCAAGTTTTTTTGGTGGCAAATCAACTTGCCATGCAAACTCAGTTTGATGGCAAGTTAACTTGCCTGCAAAATAACTTGTCGGAAGTCGCGGGATGTTAATTTATGCAAAATCGAAATTGTAAGCTGAAATAGACAGTATGCCAATTACCAGACATGGATCCTGGTGGAAAATGCCGACAGTGTCCATAAATTCCGTGTCTAAAAGACCGAAATACCGAAAACCGCATTAATCCCACATCCCCGTGTCGTAAATGGTAAAATTGTTAAAGTTCTCGATCTACCAGGGACACGGCATTATCGATGTTTAAGTTTGGCTAATTGTCGGCATTTTCACTATTTCGCCATTGGTCAGACATTCCGTAGTCGTTCGGTATCATTTTTTCTTTTGAGAGGTTTTTCTTCGCGCGGTGCGTTGTTAAAGTATCTGTCGGCATTTCGGTCTTTTAGACACGGAATTTATGGACACTGTCGGCATTTTCCACCAGGATCCATGTCTGGTAATTGGCATACTGTCTATTTCAGCTTACAATTTCGATTTTGCATAAATTAACATCCCGCGACTTCCGACAAGTTATTTTGCAGGCAAGTTAACTTGCCATCAAACTGAGTTTGCATGGCAAGTTGATTTGCCACCAAAAAAACTTGCCAGCATTCGAGTCAAAACTTGGCAAGTTATTTTGCCATCGAGTTGAGTTTGCATCCCAAGTTTACTTGCCAACAAAATAACTTGGCCGGATCAAGTAAAGTTCCTGGCAAACAAACTTGCGTGCAAGTCAACTCATATAACAACCCAAGTTAGCAGGTTTGGTTAGGTTTTTTGGCAACTACAATAACCCACTGTGCAGCAATTTTTCAAAACGTCGAAAGAGCGCGGGAAGCGAGAGCGAGAGAAAGAGAGAGAGAGAGAGAGAGAGAGAGAGCGAGAGAGATGAGAGAGAGAGAGAGCGAGAGAGATGAGAGAGAGAGAGCGAGAGAGACAGATAGTGAAACCTAGACTCACCCACCATTCGCTAAATCCTCTTCCCGCGAGCCGACGCTCTCTTTAAAGGGGCACGGAAGCGTGAGAATCGACCACTTGCATCGACTAGGCCAAGGCGGTTACGCGATATGTCAAACGGCGCAGTTTGATGGATGGGATCGGATGTCCGAGAATCGACCCTCGACATCTACGTTAGTAGCTAAAAGATGCCCGCCAATCTATCTTGCGTTTTGCAAAATACGTCCTTGGGCGCACCGCGTCGTTGCCGAGACCTAGGAGTCGGGTCATTTGACGTAGCTGTCGAGATCTAGCCAGATGCAGGGGTCGATTTCAGCACTTCCCGGCCCCATAAAATCGCTTTTCGTGTCTACTAAATTGCTAATTTGTATCCAGCGCTACGTTAGGTACCGATTTCTTTCCAAACGCGCCATTTGGCGCATCGCGTAGTTGTCGAGAAATTGCCAGTTGCAGGGGCCGATGATGGCAATTCCCGGCACCTTGAAAAGCTGTTTCTTTGCCTCAAAATCCTCTTAAAATTTCAGGAAACTCGTGGGGCCGCTACATCGGGATTGGAATTGGCGGCTTCAACCGTGGCTGGGGTGGCGGCTGGGGCTGGGGAAAGTAATAATTAATAACTAATTCCGACTGATGTTTTCGTTCCATATTTCGCATATTTTTTGTATTTCATAGTCACCATTCATGTCCTGATAGAATACAGCTGTATTTCAAGTATTGAGCAATTTTTAAAGCTTTGAAAATTGCAGCAAAATGGTTAAAAAATCACGACAGAAAAACGACTAATTTTTTGTAAATTCCCTGCGCACAAAAATGGCACAATCACAATGAAAATACCGTAAAGGACGCGGAATGTAAAAGTACGAAAAGCTACAAAGTATCAGGTTGGAAAGAAAGTAATGGCACAAAATCTTTAAACCGCTGTAAAAACGCGCAGGAACGTCCGATTTGAAAGTATGATATATGGTTTGGTAGATCTTCGGATGCTCTATCACGAGACAAGTTTCAAAACGCACAAAAACTGACGGATGCGAAGATACAGGCTTCGGAAGTTTCGCAGAAAATTAGGTGAAAGCTTCCAAGCGAGATATCTTTGCATACAGGCAGTTGCATACGATACTTTTAACACCAATCGATAGCCCTCGAGGAGTAGATATCGATAGATGTTGAGATCATAAAAATCGGACACTGGATGGCCGAGATATGCCCCCTAGAAATTTGGTCCGCTGCTTAGAACTTTTCTCGAAATCCCATACATTTAGGCCTGCGAGAGCCAAAAACTGCTGCGTTTGCTTCAGCTCCCGAACCAAAATCCAGAAAATGCATTGATTTTGGAGGACCCATATCTGAGCCATCCAGTGTCCGATTTTGATGATCTCAACATCTATCGATATCTACTCCTCGAGGGCTATCGATTGGTGTTAAAAGTATCGTATGCAACTGCCTGTATGCAAAGATATCTCGCTTGGAAGCTTTCACCTAATTTTCTGCGAAACTTCCGAAGCCTGTATCTTCGCATCCGTCAGTTTTTGTGCGTTTTGAAACTTGTCTCGTGATAGAGCATCCGAAGATCTACCAAACCATATATCATACTTTCAAATCGGACGTTCCTGCGCGTTTTTACAGCGGTTTAAAGATTTTGTGCCATTACTTTCTTTCCAACCTGATACATAAGAGTACAAGCTATGGTACTCACAAAATCAGTCCTTCTGCACGCTGAGCATTCGGCGAATCGTGCCGGCCAGTCGGGATGGGCGTTTGATGGAACGGGATGAGGACTAAAAAGGGCCTTTTCAAAGGATCTCTGCTAGCCTGCCCTTCTTTAATGGTCTCTGCTAGATGGCAAGACGCGAAAAAGAACGAGGAAGAGGGAGAGCGTGAGAGAGAGAGAGAGAGAGAGAGAGAGAGAGAGAGAGAGAGAAATCGACAACAAGTAACATACCGTTGTCGGCGTCGCCATCGGCCCGTCCTCCTCGATCAGCGCCAACTCTGCGGCATTTGCTGGCTTCCTTGACCCATCCGCGCTGCGCTGCCACGCCTAAACCCAGTTTAAAAGGACCGGGAAGGCGAGAGAGCGACAAAGAATCAAAAATACCTTATAAGCCGGCGGCTCGCGCTCTCGAATCTCCCCATCAACTCGAGCCGCGATTTCCTCGGCTATTTCCAGCGTCTCACATTGCAGTTGGAATGCTTTCCATGGCTGATTGACGTAGAACTGAATTTTCAGACTGTTTTTGACTCTTTTTCTCAAAGAATCTCTGCTAGCCTGCCCCCGTCCATCCCCTCCAATTCCTCAAAGAATCTTTGCTAGCCTGCCCCCGTCCATCCCCTCCAATTCCTCAAAGAATCTTTGCTAGCCTGCCCCCGTCCATCCCCTCCAATTCCTCAAAGAATCTCTGCTAGCCTGCCCCCTTCCATCCCCTCCAATTCCTCAAAGAATCTCTGCTAGCCTGTCCCCGTCCATCCCCTCCAATTCCTCAAAGAATCTCTGCTAGCCTGCCCCCGTCCATCCCCTCCAATTCCTCAAAGAATCTCTGCTAGTCTGCCCCTGTCGCGTACCTGGCAAATATGTTCCAGTTTCAGCTCCTCCCCTCCGAATTTCTTCTCATCAATTGGGACTAGCGTGTCGATTTTCAGGACCGGTGTCGAGTCTAGAAAATGTGCATCATCCTATCCTATATATATAGTAGTAGGATATATAAAAAAATAGTGTTTGTGTGTGTAGACACTTTGCATAAAAACCCGGGTTCCAGCCATAACTGGAAGGGGAAAGGATTTTTTGGTCCAGAAATAAGGTGGTTAGGGGTAGTCGAGGGCGTAGATTACTGCACGCTTATCAGATTTTTACTAAAACTTCGTTTTATACCTTATTTTAACGTTTTAAAAACATATGGAAATAGACTAATTTGCATACGAGGCGCTAGGAGCCTCATTTTGGCTTTGTCGCGCTCGCGGCCGGTTGCTTTTGCCATTTTTTAGGGTTCGCTCTTCGCCCGAATTATGCAACGCCCAACTTTTAAAGATCCCCGCGCAAAGGCCAGGGGTGAAAAGCCGCGTAGCGGCTTTTCAACCCTGGTAAATTAATAATTACAAAATGTAAAAATCCACCTGATAAGCGTGTTTTTTGAAGGGAAGCTCTGGCAGCGCAGATGTAATCCCACGGCAGGAAAATGTGCTGAAACATGGTCGTAATTCTTGGCTGGGTTACGGTACCTTGGCCCTTGGCCCGGGGCCCATTATCGATCTTCGACGCTCCTCCACCTTGCCACCCATCTCGATGCCGTCATAGCGGATTTCTGGAAATGTGTTTCGAACCCTTACCTAATGATTTATACTGCATAGCTTGAATAATGCGTGTGGGATCGGTTCTTTGCCATTATCGGGGGGAGGGGGTTGCAATATAAGACGAAAAATTCCTAGTAACGTAACAGTACGTGTTTTAATTGGTTTTTAGTCTTCCGCTCTGCCCAGTAGAAAAATTGGATCCTTGGAGGGTTGGTTCCCCCTCCCCGGTAAGGCAAAAGCGCCAGAAGTAAAGAACAAAACTTCCGGCAACTTACTAAAGACGACGGGATGTTTCGGTTGGTATTTGTGGATGCGCTCGAGTTCCCATTCAAATAGGGCAAATGAGGGCGGAAGGGATGGACGTGGGGAGGGAGTTGGAGGGGCTGACCCACCGCTGCCGCCATACGATGAGGGGAATTCTGAAAAAAATCTGGATTTAGAGAGAGAGCGCGAGAGAGCGAGAGAGAAAAAGATGTCCAATCAAAGCTGAACTTGCCGAAAACGCTCGTCTTCCTATCGGTCGAATCAGGAGACATCGAGTCCGGATACGGTGTCGACGGAGCCGAAAGCAAGGTGCTACGCAATTGCGAGAGACCATGTGGGTGAAATCCAGCGCGTTGACCTAAATAAAACACTTTTAAGGATCCAGAAGCCGTCCCTCATCTACTAGGTCTAGACAGCTATGCAACGCTCCAAATGACGCGCATTTCCAGTTCTCGAACTTACTGTTTTTCCTGTACACCACAAAGTCGATGGCGTGGGTGCTCTCGATGGTCTGCTCGGGGTTGAGGCGCGAGTCGAAGCCGTTCGCCGACTCCACATTCCATTCGGGCACTATGGCAGAGATTCTTTGAGGAATTGGAGGGGATGGAGGGGGCAGGCTAGCAGAGATTCTTTGAGGAATTGGAGGGGATGGAGGGGGCAGGCTAGCAGAGATTCTTTGAGGAATTGGAGGGGATGGAGGGGGCTGGCTAGCAGAGATTCTTTGAGGAATTGGAGGGGATGGACGGGGGCAGGCTAGCAGAGATTCTTTGAGGAATTGGAGGGGATGGACGGGGGCAGGCTAGCAGAGATTCTTTGCGAACTTACAAATCTCGGCTCGTTGCCTGTCCTCCTCGTCCATGTCCTCCAGCATCCTCTGTACGGCTTGATCCCTCAGCCATCCCACGGTTTGCCCCAGATGCTCCAACTCGAACGAGTACGTCTCGCCGGTGGTGAAGTAGCTGAACAGCTCAGAATTTGTGGTTTAAAAAATCGGGTTTTCACGAGCGATATACCCTGCAAGTGCGTAAAAAACGTACACATGCACCAGATATCGCTTCTCGTTCCGTTGCCGCGAGATCAGAGCGAGGGTGCTAAAAACGGGAAAACTTGATTTCGCCTATTTGCATCTCGCCTACTGCTATTTCGCCTCCTCTTATTTCGCCTACATCCCATTCCGCCTACATCTTATTCCGCCTACCACCTAATTAGCCTACATCTTCTCTCGCCTACACCTTATTTCGCCTACGTTGCATATTGCCTGTTTTTGCTCATAAATCTTTGGTAGAGCTTCGGTATATGGTTTCTTCCATGGCAAAAAAAAGCTGGAGTGGCTTTTTAAATCAACACTGCACCGAAACGAGCAGTGTTTGTCTTTTCCCCTGACAATTCCAAAAATCCTGTCTGCTTTGGCTCAAAAGGATTAAACTATCCATATTAGTGTACGACAGATACCTCGGTATAAAGCAGGCCAGACTATATATTGGATTCAGAAAAGCTAAAAAAACAGTCTGTTATGTTCAGCATGGAAAATACCAGATACTGGAGGTATACTAAAGCTTGTTGCGCATAAAAAGGTAATATGCAAAATAGGCGAAATGAAAGGTAGGCGAAATAAGACGTAGGCGAAATAAGGTGTAGGCGAAATAGGATGTAGGCGAAATAAGATGTAGGCGGAATAAGAGGAGGCGAAATAGCAGTAGGCGAGATGCAAATAGGCGGGATGAAATGGAATCCTAAAAACTTCGTTTTAGAGGAGAGGCAGAGAGAGAGAGAGAGAGAGAGAGAGAGAGAGAGAGAGAGAGAGAGAGAAAGAGAGATACCTGAATCCCATATCCCCAATTCGACGCGCGGTCTCAAGCGGCGGAAAATCGGTCTCCACTTCCCCGTCGTCAGTAATGTACAGCTCGTAGTCGGACGGCTCGCCGCTATAAAGCAAAAACTACAAAAATAGTGCTAAAACCGACCTCAACACTATCCCTGTAGCACGATGGTAGATCAGGCAGCACAGCCCGATCACCTCCCACACTTTCGCCGTCGGCAGCACGTCCACCTGGAATTTCGGGACATGTCCTCAAAGAATCGCTGCTAGCCTGCCCCCTCAATCCCCTTCAATTCTTCAAAGAACCCTGCTAGCCTACCGTAAACTCGGCCATCCCGCGCTCCTCGGTCCCTCTCGGAACGTAGATGAGGTCGAGGCGGCGGCGATTCCGTTGGGTGAGCGCCTCGAACTTGGCGTACGCGCCCCACGGCACATCGTCGTCGGCGCTCTCGCTACCTCTGAAAGTTTTGAATCTGCGAGTGAGAGTGATAGAGAGGGCCAGAGAGAGAGAGAGAGAGAGAGAGAGAGAGAGAGAGAGAGAGAGAGAGAGAGAGAGAGAGCGAACGAACCTCGATTGCCCGGTCAACAAAATCGAGGCGGCGAGTGACGATGAAGAAGCGGAAGTAGACGATACTTGAGGGAGCAGCACCGATTTGGCGGCCGTCGCTTTCTAAAAATTTTCCTTTCCGTTCTTTACTCTTAAAAAAGCAAAAAAATTGCTTTCGTGATCCGAAAAAAACAGTTCCTGACCTGTCCGGCCTTCTCCAAGTCGCCGGTCCTCGCCTTCAGGCGATTGGCGATCATCTCCGACGTCCCGGCGGGCTCCTGCGCGGGCACTTCTTCTAGCTAGAAATTTTAGAGCCTTACAGCTTTCTTTCTAAAGTTTCAATATCAATAGATGAATCGTTTCTAAGCAGTTTTTTACTATTGCTAAACGTAAAAACTTTACAAACTTTGATTAAAAAAATACAAAAAAAAATGCGACTTTCGAACAAAATGCCACCTAAAATTCTTCTTCTAGGCTATTTAATTGTTTTTCCACTTAAAATATAGTTAAATTCCAAAAAATACTATGAGAAAACTACTATTTTGCTAATAGACATTTCTGGACTTATAGAAAAAGGACGCGCGCTTTGAAAGATTGTAGTTAATTCCGAGCGCAAAATCTCCATTTTCTAGCGTCATGCTATCCAATTAATAACGCACATAATCGTCGGGATCGTCGTCTTCCTCCTCGGTGTCCATTCGAAAGCCGGCGCGTAGACCGCCGTATTTCGCGCGCCTATTGGTGATAATTGGTATTTGTATCCGTATCAATACCAGAACAAAACATGCCTGAGTTTTTCCTTACAATGGCACTGAATTTTGCCCCAGAGCATTAATACCAGAAAAAAGGTTATAATTCTGAACCGTCAGCTGCGGGCGGAAACATTCTTTCTTGTCCTAGAATATCTTAGAAACTATTTTCACATCATTTTGCCGCTATTTAAATCAAGAAAGGTCCTAAAAACTGTTTTTTCTTTTGAAAAATGGATCTGGTTTTCAGAATGTACCGAAAATGGCCGAACTGTCAAAAATTTGATAAGTTTAGAAGGTTCTAAACTTTTTGCGACGGAAAATGGTTATAGATATTATAGAATACTAATTTAAGAATAGAAAAATGCTTTTATGTTTTTGACGAGGCAGCCAAAGGGTAAATAAAACAGCTACAAATTAAGTTTCCGCTCTTGCTAACCGTCCAGAACAAAAAGGCGATTTCTTGCAAGTTTTCACATATCTTTGGCCTAAAAACACAAACCTGATGGGTTTGGGGAACAGTCGATCGCAGAGCCCCGTCTCATCCTCGCCGTGCAACTCGTGCCGAATGTAGGCAACGAGCTCGTCGGGCGGAAAGCACGTCATCAAAGGGAAACCGCTTCACAAAGGATGTCCACGGCTACGCGGTCTAGAATAAAGTTCATGCTCTCCTCTATAAAAAACCCTTTGCTTTCTTTTTCTCTCATAAACAGCAAAAAAAATGTCAAATTACTCCTAACGCTAAAATTTTTGTCCATCCAGAAAACCGAAAAAAACGAAATAATCATCAATTCCATTGAATCCGCAGTTAGAAAATGTCGCAGTGTTGTCAGGGTATCATTTGCTAGCCAAACTGTATAAAAATTTTATTGTCTTGTTCTTGTTAAATCTATCGATTATTAAATCGATCTCGTTAAATTTAGGATTGAAAAAGACCTGATCAGCTGTCTAAAATTTCCGCGCATACTTTATGGATAAAAAGCCCTGCTCCGCCGAATTACTGACCCGTAATGCATTGCCAAAAACCTTACAAACCGCGCGACATTTGCCTATCACTTCCGAAAGGCACCGGCAAAAACAAAACCGATATTACTACGCCCCAACCATATAAAAAACTGCGCCCTCACAAAAATCAGCAAGAAAACCCTGGGACGTCCGGTTAGCGCAAAACACTTTGTTAGAACAAGTATTTATACATCAATAAAGATAAACGCACACAAAAAAAATAAATTCAACGATTTCGCCGCCGCGTGCCCTCATCATCCGAGTCGACTTCTTTCTTGACCTCCTTCTCTGGCCGCCGTGCCTCTTTGCGCTTCCGCCTTCTTCGCTCATCGTCCGAATCAGATGAGCTGGAACTGAAAAAGAAAAAGTTGCTAAAAATTCACAAAATTATTACCTTGATGATTCGGAGTCTGACGCTGAACTGGAGTCTGAGGAGGAGTCTTTTCTTCGCTTCTTGGACTTGTCCTTCTCCTTTTGTGCTTCACGCTCCTTCCGGGCCGCCTTTTCCTTCTTCTCGCGTTTCTTTTGCTTCTTCTAAAAATGATCATCATAATCGGAACCAAACCATAGAACGCCATATAAACGATTATTCAACCCTTTTACAGTTTTTATACGTAAAAGGTTCATCAAAAATTATAAAGAATTGCGCCACTTTTCACTTTTTTGTTAAAAATGTATGAAAAATGTACAAGCAAAAGTTAACTTTCGATTTTAAAAATTTGAAAAGCAAACAAACCTTCTCTTTCTTCAGTTTCTTCCTTAACTTCTTATCGGCCTTCTTCTTCGCCTTCAGCTCGAGCAACGCCTTCTTGTCGTCCGTCTCCACGACGGCGTTGAGGTCGGGTAGCGTCGGATTCATGCTAGAATAAACTTTAAACAAAAAGAGGAACTTTCACTCACTTTTGCATACTGCTCCCGGGCACGTAGTCTTCTTTGATGCCGAATGCGGACCGGAAACGATCACGCTCGCCCTGGAAAATATTGTGGTTTTAGTCATAAGCGCCTACCATAGCGTTCAATTGCTTGACGTGGGAATTCTTCGCATCGAGTTCGTCGTCCACGTTCAGCTCGCCGTTGGCCAGTTGCGAGAGCAGGACTTTTCTGTAGTCGCCCACTTTCTTTTCGATTTCTTCGGGTTCGAAGCCCTAGATTTCAAATTTTTGTTTTCAAAACGGCCAAACCTTGCTCTCCATCAACATCTCGAACTCTGTGCACTTGACCTCGACGGCTCTTTTCCGCGAGTGCTCTATCATGGCTTCGTCTGGCTTCTTTGTGAGCATCGCCTCGTTTTTGGCCAGGTCCGCGTCTGCATTGTAGTCGATCCGTTTCTGAAAAATAAAGATTTGATATCACCAAAAAAACACTCACTCGTGAGAGCATGACATGGGAGAGGTTGGCCTGGACGTACCCATTTGTGCCCGTACCGCGGGCGGTCTGCACACCGACCCCGTTGTACATCCTGAAAAAAAAATCATTTGAATGAAAAAAAAACTAGAGAAGAAGAAGAACTAGCGAGCACAGAGTGAGAGGACATTTCCTTATACTAGTTTTCGATAAGCGGCGGTAAAAATTTTAATAATATTTACGTCTTGGCAGAATAAGCACTTAGAAACTGACGTACGTTTTGTACGATGCCATTGGCTTCCGTTAAATTTGTTTAGTGATCAACATGAAGCCAAACTGCAGAAGAAAACATTGTAAATAGTAATTTCGGGTATCAGCGTCAGCCTCATTGATAAAAAATAGATCATATAGAAAATAATAAAAATCATATAGATAAAAAGAGCCATTTCAATACAAATGGGACCATGGCGGATGAGCCACATTTGAGCAACTGCGGCAAAACGACGTTTCAGCAACACAATTTTCTCGCGCTTACTACTAAATTATTGCTGCTCATCTCTCATAGTCTTAACAGTGATTGACGCATTATAGAAAGCCTGAAACTGAGCAAATTCAGAAATTTGAAAATTTGCTAAATGCTGCAGAACAGTATGACCTAGCCGTATGAACGAATCCGTTTGAAATCAACCGCGAAAGGACCTTTTTCTAACCCTACACTGCCGCAAGTCGATTTCTCTCAACAAAAACCTTTTTGACACGCCGCTTATCGAAAAACAATTAGGCCTCATAAGTACACAACAATCAAATATACTGAGCGCGTCAGCGCTGCGGCAAGCTCAAAAAAATGCGTAAAAAGCTTAATGTTTATTATATCACGGACCAACGACATGAATTGAGTATCAGGGTATAAATAAATAATTCAAGGGGGCGCCAGAAGTAATTTACTAAACAAAATCATCGCTAAAATCGGGATTCATTAAAGGGAAATGACAATTGGAGGTGGTAAAGATACAATAAATAGTCGGGAGCAGGGGGTGTAATGATTCGTTAAAGCCGGGCGGGTAGACGATCACTGCCATGAGGCACCGGCACCTCCCGCTCCAGCCGCGCCGCCTCCGCGCCCGCCGCCGTAGCCGCCCTGGCCGCCCGCCGCGCCGTAGCCGCCGCCTGGAAAAAAAGTTTTTAATTTTTTGAAAAGACTAACCGGGTGCTCCGCCGTATCCTGGGGCTCCATAGCCGCCGGCCGCGGGCCAACGACCTCCGGTTCCAGCTGCTCCGCCTCCACGGCCGGCTGCGGGCGGTGGTGGGGCCCAGCCGCCACCGGCACCAGCGTACGGGTCTAAACATACACCTTATTAAATTGAAATTAAAAACACCAAAACTACATAAAATACTACCTTTTCCCGAAATTTCGGAATTTTTCTCAAAAGAAATGAATGAAAAATGGCAAAACTGTCTAACATAATTTATTAAAAGCTAGGGGGCAAATGGCCATTTGAGAAAAAAAATATCCATTTCTCGCTGACAAGGAATCGTTTTCAGGCGCCTTTAGAGTTTCGCAAAAAAGAAAAACCGATTCCAAAGAATCCAAGTGCCTTTTTCACACAATTTTGGTAATCGGATCGAAAAAATGAGCAAGATCGCTGTCTTCAGACGATTCCTTGTAAGCAGGAAATCCTACCACTCCCACCGTCATATCCGCCGTAGCCGCCGCCATATCCGCCGTCGTAGCCTCCCGGTGCGCCGTATCCTCCTCCGTAGCCGCCGCCTAAAAATAACAAAATGAAAGAAAGCTATAAAAACTTACCAGGTCCCCATCCGCCTCCGCGTGGTCCGTCCCATGGTGCTGGGCGCCCGTATCCGCGATCATCGTAGCCACGTGGGCCGCCGGGCGGGCCTCCGAAGCGGTCACCACGTCCGGCGCGGTCTCGACCCTGCTGGCCACCGACCTAAAAAAGTAATATTAACAAACAGCCAGGCGGCCAGTGTAAAAATATAATGAGCAAAAACCGACCCCGGCCAGCTCGTCCTTGCTGAGGCCCTTCTTGCAGTCGCAGCGGAAGCCGTTGATCATGTGCGACTTCTTCAGCACGCACCGGTCGACCGCGTCGTAGTCGTCAAAGTTGACGAAGCCGAACCCGCGCGGCTTGTTCGTCGCCTTGTCCATCAGGATCTCGACCTGAAAAAAAGGACGTTAGGCGATTCTCAATGGTTGACACACAGGGAAAATCTGAGAAACCCCTTACCTTCTCCACCTGCCCGAACTCGGTAAAATACTCCTTGATCATCTCTTCCGTGTGGCCCTCACGGATGCCGCTCACGTACAGTCGGTTCGTGGAGGGGAGTTTTTGACCTAGAAAACATGGTGTAAAAGCCGCCAAAAAACGAAACCTCTGTGCGATTCGTCTCGGGGGACGGCGCGCTTCGGGTCGATGGTCTTGCCCTCGATTTCGTGCGGCCGCGCGTTCATCGCCTTGTCGACATCTTCGCTCTTCTCGAACGCGACGAAGCCGAAACCTCGGGAACGGCCCGAGTTCCGGTCTTGCATCACCACGGCGTCGACGATGTTTCCCCATTGTCCGTAGTATTCCCTGGAAAAAACTGTGTTTTGGACGGTTAGCGGGAGCGGAGAAGCCATCTAGTTTCTAACCTAGCGACAATTCTAGCGTTTGATCGCGTTTTAGTGGTTTTTGATTACTAAAACGTACAAAAAAACGAAATCTTCCAGTTTTAGGAGCATTCTGTACTCACACAAGATGGAGTAAACATCACAAAAGACGCGATTTTTTTCGTTGGAACCGTAAGGGACGACAGACAAAGTTGCCCCCTCCCCCCGCTAACAGTCCAGAACCGAAAAGGGCCCCAAAAGATTGAAAACCTCCTCACCTTAGCGCCACGGCGGTCGTGCTGACCGGAAGGCCACCGACGAAGAGCTTGCGGAATTGCTCGGGCTCGAGAGCGGAGGAGTCGACCGCATCACCCGCGGCAGCATCACCGGGGGCGCCCGACTAAAGCAAATTATGAAATGTCGCCTGTACAGGAGGGTGCTGGAAAGCGCAGATGGGCCCAAGAGCTTCCAATGAAAACTACTGCATTTTCAATCGTTTTTTAGCCATGCTCATGGGCGCTTTTCAAAAAAAAAATGTCAAAATCTCAGTCTCCTCATTGTGACGCGCGATCGAAATTAGCCACAGCACAATGTAGAGCCACCTAGCCTTCCACCTCAGCACCTCTCAATGGTCCGTAAATCGAACCAAACTTACAGTAATAGCGTCTTCCTTGACCATCGTTAACCTAGCGCGATACTGCTATAGCGTATCTAGGCTAATATAATCAATCTGGGCTAAATGATTCGTGGGAAAACACTGGAGAACAATGAGCTAGCCATCGAAGAAGAAACTCAAGGCAACCCGCATTTAGCGCCGCCTAGAAATAACGCCCCTGCTTCATAGAAATGAGCAATTTGAGCAATTACAGCGGTTGGAGACCTAAGCCTTGACTAAGCCCATGCTAACCCAAAGTCAAGCCGAAGCCTAGGTTCGTTCTAAGACAAACTTTCGGAGCTATTGATGTTTGGGGGGGGGCATATTTTTTTTGGAGGTTTTTTTCCGGCTTAAGCTTGTCTCCAAGTCTAAGCTAACCAAGCCAAGCCCAGCCTAAGCATAACCTAAGCCAAGCCTAGGCTTAAGCCCAATCCTAAGCTAAGTCTAGAACAAGCCTAAGCTAGGGCTGGGCCAAGCCTAAGCTAGGCCTAGACTAAGCATAGACTAAGCCTAAGCTAAGCCAAAACCCAGCCTAAGCTAAGCCTAATCCTAATCCTAAGCCTAAGCCTAAGCCTAGGCCTAAGCTAAGTATAAGCCAAGCGTACGCGAAGTCAAAGCTAAGCCTAAGCCTAAGACTGGGCGCCAAAAAAAAGATGCCCCCCCCCTAACATCAATAGCTCCAAACTTTCTAGCAGTTCAAACCTCCCACAACCACTCAGGAATACAGTAAAAAGCTTCAACAGAAACGTTATCGCATTTTTTTGCTTCGTAAAGTGGTCCGGAAGGCAGTCTGCTGACCCTCTTTTTTTGCTAGTAGGGTCAACAGGCATCCAGAATCGTGCCGTTATATCCCGTCGAAATACAAATTTGAAAGATTGGGGCTCAGTTATTAGAGGAAATACGGTATATAGATTTGAGCATGCCACCGACAGGAGCGCAAAACGGGGCGCCAAATGCGGGTTGCCAAGACTCGAGTAGAGAAAAATAACCAGTAAAAGCTACCCTTTGCTATTCTAGCCAAACCAGCTAGCCAAAGGTACTTTACGCGTCGAGTTGCGATCGTTGAGGGGTAGAGCAATTGGCAATGAGAGGTAGGGAAAGAAAAGTGAAGGGTGAAATGACGGAAAGAAGAATGAAAAGGGCGGGTATCAATATCGATACCGTGGTATTTCGAATGCGGGCCGAGGGCCCCGACAACAGCGCCCGCCTAACTATCAACGCACACTTTTCCGACGCATAGTGTATGCCCGCGTTTTTCTAAATGGATGAAGCCAAGAAATGTGCTAAAAATTCAAAAAATAATAAAAAGTATCAGTTGAATTGTTTTAAAAGGCTTTATTGTCGTTCAGTAATTTTCAACAATTACTACAATTTCAAAATGGGGTTCTTGTGCGTTATCGGTGGGGGAAATCGAACCTTTTCCCAAGGATCCCAGATTTGTGATAGAAGTTAATATGTATTTTTTAGACATTTTCCACTTTTCAATCATAAAAACAGGATACGGATTTTAATAAAACTACAAAATATACGGAAATGCTCGGGTTTTCGGCTTAAATTATCACGTTTTGGCGAAAATGCTTTCAAACGGATTTCTAAGCCTACTTTGGTAGTTTATTCCGCTCCAAAGCCGAAAAAAAAGTTACTAAAACTATGACTAAAATGCTCTATAAATACCGGTTAAAAGCACCGGTTATGGGGGTAGTCTTTGTTTTATGACTTTTCTCCTGTTTAGTCACTTGCAGTTTTCTGCACGACCAATAGAGCCCGTTTTATTGTCCGCTATACAGAGCGGATACTAAAACTATATCTAGAAAATTTTGGTTTCCTCAAAGCCATTTTTTGTACAAAAAACGCTTTAGATCTAAAAACCTCAAAATGACCAGAAATTCTTTCCTTTCCATTTCGTCTGCTTTTTTGAACAATCGAGAGCTCATTTTTTTAGCTTCACATGTCAATATCTTCCGGGAGTTCCGTCGGCGGCGACGACGGCGATCTGCTGATTGAAGAGGGCGAGGACCTCGACTTCTACGCCGTCCTCAACTTGCCGAAAGATGTACGGGCTTCAGCAGAATTTGAAACGCTTTCATTTCCAGGCCACTGATGAGGAGATCACAAAGGCCTATCGTCGACGTTGTCTTGTCTTCCACCCGGATCGCCACGTTGATGAGGATGACAAGAAGACGGCTGAGCGCGTCTTTGTCCAGATTCGCAGGGCTCATGAAGGTCAATTTTTGCCAAATTTTTTATGCCGCTATTTTTAGTCCTAAGCGATCCGAAGAAACGGGCCATCTATGACGCTCTCGGCGTGCAAGGCATTGATGCTCAAGGCTGGGAGCTGGTTTCAAGGTTAAAATTAGATTTATTAATGCCGTACTACTACATCTGGTTCTTCTGCATTAACGGGGGGGGGGGGGGGGGGCTTTTTTGATTTAAGCCGATAAAGGCCTAGTAACGTGGAGGCTTTTTATAGTTTTCTTAGCTAAATTTAACTAATTGTGGAGCGGAAAAACAATCAAATAAAACTTAGACACATTTTTTAACAGAAGTTTTGGTTGAAAATCGGCGATTTTGGTCGAAAAATCGATTTTCTTTTCCTTTTTTGATCAAAATTTGTTGATTTTCACGTTTAAATAGTAAAGAACAATTTAGAAGTTTTTAGGCAACGAATTTTATATGGCTGTTTCAGATCTTCTAACCCTGAAAACATCAAGAAGGAGTACGAGTTTCTGCAACGACTTCGCGAAAATGAAATTATGCTCACGAGGACTCATCCAACAGTAAGATTAAAAAAAATTATCGACGACTTTTTTAGAGTTCGTTCATGCTGAAGACCTCGCTGGCGGGGCTTTTCGTGAAGAACAAGGAGGAGCGCTACATGCCGCAGTTTGTCGGCCTCGCGCTCACGCAGGGTGTCGACTGTTCGTTGACTGGCAAAGATCGCGTAGGACTTACAGGTTTTTGAAAGTGATTTATGTGCAAAAATAAGGATTTTAGGGCGTGTGAAGACGGGAAATGGACGAGGTGATGGGAGCGCGGCGCTGACTTGGAAAAGGGGTGTCGGGCAGTTTAATATGGAGGTCAGTTATCAAAAACAATCCTCAGTTCTAAAGCTGTTTTTAGAACATGATCTCAATCTCGGGCGAATCGATCGCCGCTCAGTGTCGACTGGCCCGTTCCGTGTTCCAGAGGGCCGCCATCATCGTCCAGCCGTCGCTGCAGTATATGTACCTTCAGGGCGTGTGCATGCCCACCCTTCAATTGAGTGGGTTTTTCAGACGTGTTTCTGGCTCGCAATCGAGTTTTGCCTGGAAATGACGGGTTTTTCGAGGCGAGTGAACGATCATGAGAAAAATAAATCTAGTTTGCTTTTTTTTGTCGGAACCGCGTGTAAGCCACTGTGGTGGGAAAAGCCTGTTTTAGCTTGAAAAGGAAGCCTGAAAAAATTGTTGAAGCCGTTTACCTGTTCCTCTTATTATGTCTGGCACAAGCAAAGTTTTTACCACCACAAACGTGTGATCTCACTTTTTTTTAGTCTATTCGATGCGGCTTCGTCTTCGATGGCAAGGCTCGATCATTCTGGCGCTGACTCCGGTGCAAAGCGCTATCACCACAACGATTGTGCACACCGAGAACAACCAACCAAAAGCCATCGCCAATTTCACAGTGCGTTTTTTGGTACTTTGGCGTTATCGGGGGGGGGGGGGGGGGGCTTTTCTGTCGGTCTTTCGACCAAAATCCTGTTTTTTGTTTTTTTTTCGCGTGAAAGACTGTTAGATTTTACTAAAAACCGTAAGGCGATTTCCATGACGTTTCTAGACATACCAGCGGTTATAGGAAAAATTCAGCCCTCCCCCCCCCTTGTTAATGCAAGAGTACCGATTTCCGTATCCAAAAGATTGATTTTTCTTTTTCAGCTTGCCCCGGCGAACCCAAACGTGCGCCTCGTCTACATCAGTCGGGACGCGAGCCTCGACTCGTTCACCGAGATGGCCTGCACGTTCAGCATGTTTGGTCAGCAAACGCGTGATTTCCGGAACCAAAAAATCCTTGTTTCAGGGCTTTCCCCGTCGATCCAGATGGAGAGAAGGCTGTCGCGGTATTCGCGCTTTGGCGTCGGCCTCAGTCTGACGCTTCCGTCGTGTATGCTGGTCGCCAAGTTCAAGTACGTGCGTTGGCTGTGACGATCATTTTGCTCTAGGGTAAAAAGCGGACATTTCCTCTACGATTGGCACATCGTTCTATGCGATGACAAGGACGAGGTGGCCCGATCAGCTCTCTACGGTGTCGTGCTGCCCGTTATTGCTTTTCAGGTATTTTTTCGCAGTGCTCGATCGAACTCCCGTTTTAGGCGTTCAAAGCCATTTTCCGGCCGTTCTGGGAGCGCCTTACCTCGGTGTTTGACGATCGAACGCAGGAGCGTGAGGTCGACATGGCCAAGCAGGAGGAGAGCCAGCGGGTAAATACATTCATTTTGAATTCCAGCCATAAACGGTTTTAAAATCTGCTGGCGTTTCTGGCTGTCGGGATTTTGTCGAGATTTTGGCGTTTTTCCATTCATTTTCAATTAAAATTAAACCAATTCTAGGTGATCACACTGATGCGTGGGACAGCCGACCGGATCCGCAAGGACGAGGAGAGCAAGCAGGGCGTCATAATTCTGCAGGCCAGGTATCCGCATTCTGTTTTTGCCACTTCCGCTTCTCCAGATACGGCGTGAGCTCGCCCGACTCGGCGGCCAACTACCCGCTGGCCGGTGACCGATCGATCGATGTGGTCATCCCGCTTCAGGCGATGGTCAACGATTCCCAGCTACGCATTCATTCCTTCAACAAGGTCAATTCTGGCTCTTTCGCGTTATCGGGGGAGTCAATTTTTTGTTCCTAAGAACCGATTTTGATATATAAGTAGCGGAAGTGTTTCTAAGCTGTTTTCTACTATTCCCAGACATAAAAACTTTCAAAATTTTCATTACAAAGTGCAAAAAAATGTCGATTTTTGACCAAAAAGACCGTTTTTTGGCCAAAAGTCGACATTTTGACAATTTTTTGAAAATTTTACGATGTTTTTTAGTTAAAATATAGTTTTATTCTACTAAAAACAGTAAGAAAAGGCTTCCTATCCAGTTACTAGGCATCTCTAGATCCCTTGATTAACACAAAAACTTGTTCCCCCCGATAATGCCAAAGCACCTCACTTCTTAACACCCTTCGTCATCTCGATTTCTCCATTTCAGTCACAATTGCCCGGCTTCTACGACCCGTGCCCGGGAGATGACAAGGTGCTGCACGTGCGCTACCAGTTCAGAGGCGAGATGCACGCCGTCACCGTGGCCGATGATATGCCGTTGATCATCCCAGTTCGATGTGGGTTTCGATTTTTTGGGGGCTTGCTCGCATATTTTCACACTTTTTCTTTGTAAAATTTTTTTACATCGTAAGGATTTCGTTAGGCTGAATTTTTACAACGCCGAAATGTCAAAAACGGGATTGTCTTTCTAAAGAATTTTTCATTTATCTTATTCTTAATTGCAATTTATTCTCCAATTTCGCTTGAGAGATTAAGTATTTTCTTGCGGGCCATCAATTTACATTTGTGGAATTTGTAACACTGCGACGTTATGGAAAATCGGATTATGACAATTCCCTGGAAATTCGGCATCTTGAAAATTCGACTTTATGGAAATTCGCTAGGACTGCAGCATGATGGTCGCATTATTAAAATTCGACGTTATAAAATTCGGCGTTATGGTTTTTATGGTTAAATTCGGCATTTTGAAAATCGAGATTATGGAAATTCGGCATTGTGTCGACATTATGAAAATTAGGTTTTTCGAAAATTCGGCATTATCATAAACATCCAACATTTTCAGCGCATCGCGTCGCTTCAAGCCCTTGAATCGATGTGCTCCGTCGCTGCCTTCACCGAGCCGCCGAACGTGTTCAGCCGTCGACCTTCGACTCTAGCTCTCCCTATTTCTAATCATCATCTCGGTTCTTTCGCGTTATCAGGGGGGATACAAGTCCAGAAATGTCTAGAAACTTCTTAGTAAATACCATACAACCCCTAAAAAATTTTTTGGTTAAAATTCAGGTAAAAAAAGGGCATTTTTGGTACAAAAAAAATGACATTTCTCGTAATTTATAAGGCAAAGTTGTTGTTTTTTTTTGGTTGATGTATGGTAAAAATAGCTTAGAAAAATAAGGAAAACGCCCCCCCGATACTACGAAAGAACCGTCTCCAGATTTCCCTCATTTCGCGCCCCGGTCACCATTTAGCCGTTGATTTCTAAGTCTAGCTAGCGCCCCGTCCGCCCCGGTTGTTTCTTGTACATGAAGTTTTGTTACGGGATTCCCTCTGTTAGGTGTTCCCTCTTTCTTTCTGCCTAGGTGATAGCTGTTGTTTTTGAGATTCTCCGCCCTCTTGCTCACCTCCCCGCTCTTCCCTCTGCCCAGGCCCCACCACCCAAGAAAACTGCTCATTTGCCGGGTGTGCGTGTGTTTCGGCTAATAAATCTTTATTACAGGCGCTATAAAAAGTCTACAAATTTTATTAAAAAGCTGTAAAATATATGATTTCGTTTAGAAATGATCGATTTTCGACATTTTCGGAGTTTTCTAAATCCTGCCCCGTTTGAAATTGTTTAAAATTATGGTAGAAACACTTTTATTGCTATAACTGGTATAACTTTTTATTGCTATAAACACTGATAATAACTAGAGGCTCAAATGCTAGTAAAAATGTCGGGTGCTTAGGCATTATCCGGGGGGGGGGGGGGGGGGCTATTTTTGGCACATTTTAATTTGAAAGTCGTGTTTTAATAGTGTTTTCGTCAATTTTAACTCGGTTTCAGGTGGAAAAAATCAAAATGAATTTAGCTTAGTCGAAATTTTGGTCGAAACTCGGCCAGCTTGGGTCGAAAAATCTATATTTTTGTATTTTTTTTGGATAAAATGTAACGTTTTAGCATAGCAAAAACATGCGTAGAAACACTGGCTCAATTTATATTATAAATATTGCGACCTAAGTAAAAGGTTGGTCGCCCCCTGATAAAAGGAAAGGTCCAAAACTGCGAAAATTTTATTTGGTGCAAAACGCGGCCTTTAAATCATTACCAGGCCGATCGATTGATTGATGCCTTGCCCCGCTGGCGAATTCAGCAGGCGAATTGATGCGTCGGAAGCTGTGTCATCTTTGGCCGGTATTGACGGGCTATCTGCGGTCTGCGTCCTCGCCGATCAGCCGCTGCCTCGCCCCCTCGCCCCCGATCGACCGTGTGACCAGATGCCCCCTGAAATCGGCGGGGCCACCTTGCCCTCCTCCCCTTCCCTGGCTTCTCCCTGTTATTGCAGTTTTTCCAAGACAGGCCATGTTGACGTTTTTGGTCAAATGCTTTCATCATTTCTGGCCGTCGCCTCACTTTCCTCAATTCCTTTCCGTCACCTTTTATTGTTAGCAGGAAACCCCGAAATTTTTGCCTATCCGTCGAGTTTAACCTATCAATCAAATCGATATTTTGTTTAAATAGTTTTTAGTAACATTTTACTATATATTTAACGTAGAAAAGTTCTTTAAAATTCACAAAACAGTTTGGAGAAATCGGCAATTTGACAGTTTTAGATAAAAAAAATTCGTTTTTTTCCAATTTTTTCTAACATTTTACGTTTTTTTTATGTTTAGGGATGGCCAAAACAACGTTGAAGGACATTATTTATTTGCTGTTAAATCTCTCTGGCTGATTTAGCGAATTTTTGGTTCTGGACTGTTAGCGGGGGGGCAACCAAATTTTTCCCTGTGGTTCGCTACGGTCGCATAACAAAATAATAACCATTAATATAGCATTGTACATAATTACTAGTTATAAAAATTAATAATAATTTTCAAAAAATTTCCGTCTTTTTCGTCAGAAAAATGTATGAAAAATGGCCAAAAACTGGTCAAAATTTTCGAATTTTGAAACTTATTTTTTACAACTTTCTAGCGATCAAAAACTATGAAAAAAACTATCAAAAAACATATTATACCATCCAAAGGTCGAAAAAGAAAAAGTGTTTTCTCCCGCTAAAATCCCCCGCTAACAGTCCAGCGCCGAAATTGTCAGCAATCGTGTAAAGCTGTTTTGTCTCGAAACGCTCGTCCTCTTCTCCAATTGTTTCAAAATATTACCCCCATTGGCCCTAAAATCGATTTTCAGTGGGGATGGGAAACCCGAACGAAAGCCGGCCGTCGGCCCCTGAACCAAGGTAAGTGATTTTTGGGTTCTTTCGCATTATCGGGGGGATCGAACTTTTTTTTATGAGTCGAGAAATGTCCGGTAACTTAATAAAAAGGGTTCTGATCGTGTTTTTAGTAACATGTAACCATATTTCATAGAAAAACTGACGCAAACTTGAAAAAGTCGAATTTTTGGTCCAGATCCGCCTTTTTTCGTCAAAAATGATTCTTTTGGTAGTCTTTAAGAAAAATTTGTAAAGTTTAACGTTTAGGAATAGTAAAAAACCAAAAACCATGAACCCAAAGAGATTTTTGCATTAAAAACGCCAATTTTCAGGTCGAACTCCCCGCCATCGTCGGCGCCACAACAAGAACATCTGCAGGGCTCCTCGTCGCGACCGCCCTCTTTCCCTTCCGCCCCATCCTATGATGAACCGCCGCCCGATTATCATGTTGGTTTGGTGGAATTCGACATTTTTTTAGTCATGCTTCAAAAATATGCCTCTAGCTGCCCGTAGAGGTATCCGATTTTTACGATTTAGGCATCTATCGAGATCTCTCTATCTCCACGAGCTCAGGAAATCTGTTCCTTTGTTTTTCGAAATTCCCGGATTTTTGATCGGTTTTCCGTATTTTTCTTGCAAAATTTGCTTTTTTTTCTCGAAAAACTCAATTTTATCCGCTTAAACACCTTCCCAGCTGTGTTTTATCAAAAGGCGTTCAAAAAGCGGCGGTCGGGATGCCGTAAAAAAAACCTAAAAAAATCGTAATTATTTTTTTATGTTTTTTACTATCCCTAAACGTACGAATTTCAAAGTTTTTCATTACCAAAAATGCCGGTTTTCCTCAAAAAATGACTAAGATATTGTAAAAATTGTGAATTTTTGTAAAATCCTTCTAAAAACATCAGAAATTCGGCCCGTTTCTCAAAAAGCTTAGTAAACATACGGAACGGCCGAAATTTCGAAACCGGCAAGAGCTTTCGTTAGATACCTAAATCGTAAAAAGCGCACAAGACGGCCGCTAGAGAGAGAGTGAGAGAGAGAGAGAGAGAGAGAGAGAGAGAGAGAGAGAGAGAGAGAGAGAAAGAGAGAGAGAAGAGAGAGAGGGCGATTTTTACCTAATTTTCACATAAATTCATTTAGTCAGCGGTCAACTACCCGAGTGTCCCCAGCTATCAACAGCAACAACCACCTCACCAAACAGCCGTCAAGCCATATCCGGTGCGTGTCAACAGCATGTTTTAGCAATTTTTAAACGCACCATTTTTAAAATTACTAGCTCTAAATTAAAAATCAGAAATTTTCAGCGTATCAAAATGTCAGAATCGGTGTTTTTGCAGCATCGGTGGGGGATTCATATTTTTTAGTGTCCCGTTTTTCTAGCATAAAAAACGCAAGTGTTTCCACGTGTGTTCACGATTCCTAAACGTAAAATTCCCAAAATTTTTCTTGGAAAGAAAGAACGTCAAGAATTGTTAACATCCTGTATTTCTAGACCTTTTTTTGAGGTTTTTATATGGTTTTTCTATCGGAAATAGAGTAAATATTACAAAAAACCTTACTACAACACGCAACAGTACGTTACAACGCATTTCTGGACTTTCACACAAATATTACTCCCCCCGCTAATGCGAAAGTGCCTCAGAATTTCGAGACGCTGTGAAACTGTCAAAAATCCCGAGTTTCAGATCTAAACACCACCGCTTTCAGGTACAACAATCCTACGGGTCGCACACGGCTCCCTCGTACCCCACGCAAAATGCCCCGGCTCCGCATTTGATCTACAGTGGCGGTGAGTTCTGCCCCTCCAATGCCACAAAGAATCTCTGCTCGCCTGCCCCCGTCCATCCCCTCCAATTCCTGAAAGAATCTCTGCTAGCCTGCCCCCTTCCATCCCCTCCAATTCCTCAAAGAATCTCTGCTAGCCTGCCCCCTTCCATCCCCTCCAATTCCTCAAAGAATCTCTGCTAGCCTGCCCCCGTCCATCCCCTCCAATTCCTCAAAGAATCTCTGCTAGCCTGCCCCCTTCCATCCCCTCCAATTCCTCAAAGAATCGCTGCTAGCCTGCCCCCTTCCATCCCCTCCAATTCCTCAAAGAATCTCTGCTAGCCTGCCCCTTCCATCCCCTCCAATTCCTCAAAGAATCTCTGCTAGCCTGCCCCTTCCATCCCCTCCAATTCCTCAAAGAATCTCTGCTAGCCTGCCCCCGTCCATCCCTCCAATCCTCAAAGAATCGCTGCTAGCCTGCCCCTCCATCCCCTCCAATTCCTCAAAGAATCTCTGCTAGCCTGCCCCCTCCATCCCCTCCAATTCCTCAAAGAATCTCTGCTAGCCTGCCCCCTCCATCCCATCCAATTCCTCAAAGAATCTCTGCTAGCCTGCCCCTCCATCCCCTCCAATTCCTCAAAGAATCTCTGCTAGCCTGCCCCCTCCATCCCCTCCAATTCCTCAAAGAATCTCTGCTAGCCTGCCCCCTCCATCCCCTCCAATTCCTCAAAGAATCTCTGCTAGCCTGCCCCCTCCATCCCTCCAATTCCTCAAAGAATCTCTGCTAGCCTGCCCCCTCCATCCCCTCCAATTCCTCAAAGAATCTCTGCTAGCCTGCCCCCTCCATCCCCTCCAATTCCTCAAAGAATCTCTGCTAGCCTGCCCCTCCATCCCCTCCAATTCCTCAAAGAATCTCTGCTAGCCTGCCCTATCCTGATATTTCCGTATTTCGAAAATATGTCATTTCAGGGTACCAGCAGTCGAGCGGCGGTGGTGCTCCCCCTCCTCCTCCACCGCCCGGCCAGCCTGCCGTCGTCGTCCAAGTCGTCCGGGAACATTCGAGTGTGCTGCGATGCGCTTATTGCCCGAACGGAGTCGTCAGTTTTTCTCCAACACCTCTTAAAAATCAGAGAAATGCTGCGGAAAACGGCTCGCCGTTTTTATAGCTGTTTTTGGATATGAAAAGCTTCTAAGTATTATTGTTCAAAAATTTTTGGTTGGTTTTCAAAAATTCATAAAAATGGCCAACTAAAAAATGCGAACATTTTTTAAACTATCTACTCGGCCTCACTGGTCCCTTGAAGCCCATTTGCTTCTACAGGTTGTGCGCGAGACGGACGGATGCTGCGTGTGCATGTTGGTGATCATGATGCTGTTCACGTTCCCGTTCGGGCTGCTTTTCCTGCTCTGTCTGCCATGCGCCGTCCACAATCGCTGTCATCAATGCCATCGCATCGGGTAGACACTCGGAAAGGATGGATCTGACTATCGCTATCTCTCTCTCTCTCTCTCTCTCTCTCTCTCTCTTCTCTTTCTCTTTCTCTTTCTCTTTCACTCTCTCACTGTCACTTACACAGTCTCTCTACCTACGTTTAAAATTTATACTTTGACTACGCTACCACATTTCGCTTATATTTTGTTGTACATTCCGAATAAAGGCTTCGTCCGGGTGATTCAGATTGTATTCCACACCTCAAAAGCGACACCGTCATTTGAAAAATACTGTACTCCGTAGAGTACTGTAGCCTGTTTAGAAAATGCTAACTAGCAGAGATTCTTTGAGGAATTGGAGGGGATGGAGGGGGCAGGCTAGCAGAGATTCTTTGCGGAATTGGAGGGGATGGAGGGGGCAGGCTAGCAGAGATTCTTTGAGGAATTGGAGGGGATGAACAGAAAATTTTCACGAATGCCAGATTTTCGTCGGAACTGCTCGGAATTGGTTGCTTTCTCCCTCCCTCTATCTCTCGCTCTCTCTCACTCTCTCTCTCTCTCTCTTTCTCTCTCTCTCTCTCTCTCGCGCGCAGTTCTGAAGCTGTCTAGAGTTATCGAGAGCGCCGACAATTCTGTGGCCTGGGGCCTGGCCGTACGCGAAGCTTCGGGCGTTGATCAGGCGGCATCAAAGACGAGCACCGAAGAGCGCGAAACGGCCGGGTTTACGGTAAATGTCCAATTTATTGCCTTTGAAACTTCAAAAAGTGGCTTGATTCCTCGCTTTTCTGATTTTCAAGTGAAGCAAATTTTTTTGATTGAATTCTTTTCTCAGGGCCGGCGCGGTATCGGCCCGGTTCAGCCGGCCCGGACGACAACATTGGCTGCGCGCCGTGCTCCGGAACAATTTCTGGCCCGCTCTGAATGCCGCCGCCGTTCCCGCCAATCAAATAACTCTAACGGCGTTGCAAATTTTATTATTACAAAGTGTTGGGTATGGCTAATACGATCATTGAGAAAGTACGCTCGGCATTTGGTTTGGGCTGACCATGACGGTGATCGTCGCGTGCTTTTGAGCCTTTTGAGCGCTACGTGGATCTCCTTCGTGCATCCGGAATTGCAGCAGCACTTCTGAAAACTACGGATTCAATTCAGTGACATACAGGGTGTCCCAAAAACCCATCTGGCATTTCGCCGTGTTACATCTAATCGCCCGCAAATTTGGACCAGAGGGGTATCACGCCCTAAATAACCGCAATCCTGACTTATCGCGCCCCCCAACTACGGTATTTCGAGAGCTATAGCGCAAATACTGCAAATACTGCTATCCTGACTTACAGCCCCCCCCTAGCTACAGTAGACTTATGGTGACAGTAAAAACAACATTTATTTTCTGTTTTTCGTGGGGTTTGCGTGGGATTAGACCAGGCTTCGATTTGGTTGGGAGAATTGGGAAAATTTCTCTGGAGGTGGTCGGCCGGCCTGGAGGTGGTCAAAAAAAGGTCGCAAAAAATTTTTCGCCGCTTCGCGGCGGGTATTCCAGCAACAATTCAAGACTGTGCTGTAGGTTCAACTTAGGGTAACTGAAAATGGCTAAGAAATACCCCAAAAACTACTTTAGACCATATTTTTTCGCAGAAGCACCAGAAGCGATCGACAATAACGACAATCGAATATTACCTTGCGCGTTGATTTTTGTGTAATTGTGAAATAAATATTGTGAATAAATGCTGAATTACTTGTTAATTTTCGGTGAAACAGTCAAAGAAGACGGAATGGTGACGGAAAGCTGAGGGAGAAGAAGAAATTCCAAAAATAATTCCTGCTAAATTCTCTACATTCTTATTCACCCACCACTTCAACTTCACTTTCGAGAAAATGCAGACTCTATATTATGGAATGGATAATATGGAAGATAAACAACTCCTTCCTATTTCTCAAATCTTTTTCTAAACTATTCATGTTTCTCGGACCAGCTGCATGGCGGACAACGCTTAAACTCTTCTCAGCCGCCTTTAAAGGGACACGGACACGGGACTTTTCCGACCGTAGTTTTCCGGAACCGGTCTGGACCGCCTTCTCACCTACACCAATCGACGCGTCTTGAGCTTGCGCATCCGCCTATACCCATGAAAAGCCATGAAAAGTTTGTTAGACAACCTCCAACCCCCCCATTCATGCTAATTTTGGGCCAAAAACGCAGTTTTCCGGATCGAAATTTCCGGAAATGACTCGGATCAATTTCTAACCCACATCAATCGACGCGTCTTGATCTGCCGCATCCGGTGATGCCCATGAAAAGCCATGAAAAAGTTTGTTAGACAACCTCCAACCCCCGATTTATGAGGATTTTAGGCCAAAAACGCAGTTTTCCGGTCACCGATTTCCGGAATCGGCACGGATCCATTTCTAACCTGCACCAATCGATGCGTCTCAACCTGCCGCATCCGGTGATACCCACGAAAAGTCCTAGAAACTGCGTTAGACAACCTCCAACCCCCTTTTTTTGTTTGGGCCCCGTCTGGATTTCTGAAATTTCCGACCAAAATCTCGACGCTAGATCGTCCCCGTTCTCCGGCCTCTGTCTAGTTCCTGATTTCAAAACCACCTCCCTGTGTAGCCACAGATCACATCTTTATCCCCTAGAAGTTTTAGCCCCATCGGTTCGGGGAGAAAAAAGATTATTGGGAAATAAAAATCTTGACCTTGGGAGCAAACCTGGGTTCGGCCCTTTTAGGTGTTTCCTTAATTCCAACTTTCTTCCTTTCTCCACCATCTCCCATAAAGATGTCGCATATCAGGTGATAGCTGAAAGTCTCTTCTATCCGATGGTGTGCTTTACTTCGCGTCATCTACTTCCTGCTACGATTTATCCGCCAAAAACCCTTGGGATCAAACGTGGGAGCAGCTGAAACCTGGACAAATAGGGGGTTGGAGGTTGTCTAACGAAGTTTCTAGGACTTTTCGTGGGTATCACCGGATGCGGCAGGTTCAGACGCATCGATTGGTGTAGGTTAGAAATGGATCCGTGCCGATTCCGGCAATCGGTGACCGGAAAACTGCGTTTTTGGCCTAAAATCCTCATAAATCGGGGGTTGGAGGTTGTCTAACAAACTTTTCATGGCTTTTCATGGGCATCACCGGATGCGGCAGATCAAGACGCGTCGATTGATGTGGGTTAGAAATTGATCCGAGTCATTTCCGGAAATTTCGATCCGGAAAACTGCGTTTTTGGCCCAAAATTAGCATGAATGGGGGGTTGGAGGTTGTCTAACAAACTTTTCATGGCTTTTCATGGGTATAGGCGGATGCGCAAGCTCAAGACGCGTCGATTGGTGTAGGTGAGAAGGCGGTCCAGACCGGTTCCGGAAAACTACGGTCGGAAAAGTCCCGTGTCCGTGTCCCTTTAAAGGCGGCTGAGAAGAGTTTAAGCGTTGTCCGCCATGCAGCTGGTCCGAGAAACATGAATAGTTTAGAAAAAGATTTGAGAAATAGGAAGGAGTTGTTTATCTTCCATATTATCCATTCCATAATATAGAGTCTGCATTTTCTCGAAAGTGAAGTTGAAGTGGTGGGTGAATAAGAATGTAGAGAATTTAGCAGGAATTATTTTTGGAATTTCTTCTTCTCCCTCAGCTTTCCGTCACCATTCCGTCTTCTTTGACTGTTTCACCGAAAATTAACAAGTAATTCAGCATTTATTCACAACATTTATTTCACAATTACAAAAATTCAACGCGCAATAATATGTCCAAACACACAAAAAATACCGAAATTTTCCCTAATCTACACATATAATATGGCAAAAATTTTTCGGCCGCTTCGCGGCCGGTCTGGAGGTGGTCAGCCCTTCTGGAGGTGGTCCTGGGATTCTGCTCCCACCAAATCGAACCCTGGATTAGACCCACTAACTATTAAGCTAAAATCATTCGGCAGACCATCGTTATCTTAAAAAATTTTTTCCTAACTGAATTTGATTGGAAAAAGCGTCGATTTGTGGAATTTTTACAACGCAAAATTAGGGATTCGCTACCGGAAGTCGATGCAAATCTATGCAAAGTCCAAAAAGGAACCGAAATAACCGTTGAGAATTGCGGAAAAACCAGTATTTGCGCCATAGCTCTCGAAATGCCGTAGTTAGGGGGCGCGATAAGTCAGGAATGTTGTTGTTTAGGGTCTGATACACCGCTGGTCCAAATTTGGGGCCGATTGGATCGGTAACACGGCGAAATGCCAGATGGTTCGTTTTTTCGGGACACCCCGTAGCAGGTAACGGGTCTTTTGGATTAGAATCAGCGAACCATATACAGGGTGTCCCAAAAAAAACCTCCCCTCGGCATTTGGCCGTCTTCTATCTCATCGGGACAAAATTTTTACCAGCGCTGGGGACCGATAAAAACTATGTGCAGCCGAATTTTCTAAGCAAAATATTATAAAACAAAAAAGTTATCGCTAAAAAACTGATTTTTGGGAAACGCTAGTACCGATTTTTCGCCATGTTTTCGCAATTAGCATGCCGATTTTGAGTAATTTTCCCAAAAATCGTCATTTTCGGGTCCGTTTCTGTTCGTTTTCATAATAAAAATTGATGAAAGTCCCGATTTTGACGTAATTTTCGTAAATCAAAAAAATTCCTCCGGGTGGAAAAAAGTGCCCTCTTCATTTTTGCTAAACATTTCGAGGCCCTAACCCATCAAAATCCTAGTGAAATCGGCAAAATAAACCTTAATTTCAATATAACTTTTTTGTCTTACAATATTTTGCGTCGAAAATTCGGCTGCACATATTTTTTATGGGTCCCCATCACTGGTAAAAATTTGGCCCCGATCCGATAGAAGACGGCCAAATACCGAGGGGGGTTTTTTTTGGGACACCCTGTAGAATAAAAAATAATAAGCTAAAGGTTGCTTAACGGGGGGACCTGTCGTACAAATTCCAGCATGCCATCGGATAGACCGTCGAAAATTCCACGAAGAGATTTATTTTCAGCCCGAAATACTGCAATTTAAAATTATTACTTTATTAAGCCAA